CATCCCACATATTCTGGCAAATTCATCTGGCATTTTTAACATGAAGAACATTTTACATGATTAACTTAAAAAGTATGAATAACTATTAAAAAACTAGCATGCACTTGACATCTCATTACAAGATATCTTTACAGTGTTTTCAGATGGTTTCACCTCAATGAACAAAGAAATAATAATAATAATCTCTCACAACCTCTCAGAATCGTCTGATATTACTAAACTCGTTGAAAGTGGACCCTGGAATGGCAGGAAAATCCTCCGGAAAAGCTTTTGATTTTTGGTTCTTTGGTTCTTTCTTTCTTTTTTTTTTCATTCATTTATGTGCATTATAGTGGACATTTTGTCCACCTGTACCCCCCTAAGTATCTGGAGTTACCCTATCAGCCCTATAGTGTTCTGTAGAGCACATCCTGGGCTTTCCAGTGATGTGCCATGTGATAGCTTTGCATGCTGGGAACTTTACTTTTTTCCTAAGAGTTCTTAGGTAAATATCCCTTTAGAGACAACTTCTTTTTTATTATTTAATTATCTAAAGCCTGTTCTATTTTCCCATGCAAATCGTCCTGTTGTCCTCCACAGTGGACATGCTATGAAATTAAAATTAAAAATATATTTTTTTAAATTTAAATTGTAATGTTCTTTTTTAGGTCCAAATACATGGAAAATCACAACAAAAAATAAATTTGATGACACTTTTTTTCTTTGGGTCTCAGGAGGATACTGGTGATGTCCTTCTTATACATCCCACTATAAAAAGTATTATTTCCCACACTGGGAATTTAGATCTACTGGAGAAACTCAACGATTGTCCATCTACACGTGTCTGAGGCTCCATCTAAAGACTTTTTCAACTGTAAAGAAAAGAGTTCATTCAAATACCACCACAACCTGACTAGATCTGACCAATCCGATCCATTTCACTCATATTCAGTCTGTTTGTTTAGGGTTTGTTTAGATTTGTGGTCCTGTCTCCTGGTTCTGTTTCCTGTGTTTTATTTTACGTCTGTCTTGGTTTTTCTATGTTTCCTGTTTTATTCTGACACCTTTTGTTGTTTCCTGTGTTTTCCCTGTGTGTCTCTGTTTACTTTACTTCTCTAATTCCCTCTGTTTATGGTTAGGGTTCCTTGTCTTTGTCCCAGTGGGATTCGAGGTTTCATTAGTTTTTTTGTGTGTTTGCTGTGGTTGTGCATTTTGTTGTCCTTGTTGATAAACTAGTATTTTATTGGGTTTCCAGCTCCCTTTGTTTCCATCCTTAGATCCACATCACCTCCCTCCAGTCCTGACTCTGTCCACTGTCCCTTACTTTACCATTTGGACAGAAATGTGTATTTCTATTAACCATTTCAGCCACTTAACATTAGGGACTACGGATGAAAATGACCTTTGTAGCTACAATCCGGCATATTTACATTTGTTTTTGACTGATGTTCATTAATGTGCTTTGTCCCTATTCAAATAAATAAATAAATAAATAAATAAATAAATAAATAAATAAATAAATAAACATTGATCTTATCGCAATTCAAGCATAAAGCAGCATCTAACTCAATGGGATAGTCACAGAGTTGGGACTTCTCAAAACGGACGGCATTTTAAAGCTTTACAAGCAGCTTCTCACAAAATAAAAAATAGATTAAAATATTTATTCCAAGGGGATATCATATGATAATAAAAATAAACTGTGCCCTTAATTTACCCAATGCCACGTTCAACATTTTCTGGTCTGTCGTTGGACATTCAATATTTTATTTTATTATTATTATTATTATTATTATTATTATTATTATTATTATTATTTATTTTATTTTATTTTATTTTATTTTATTTTATTTTATTTTATTTTATATTTTTATTTTTACATTGTATGTCCTTTCTTGTTTCTCACAGAAGTGTTGTGCACCTAACACCAAAGCAAATTCCTTGTAGGTGAAAAACCTACTTGGCAATAAACCTAATTCGGATTCTGATTCTGATTCTGATAATGAAACAATTATTATTACACAGTTCAAATATGTTACGTATGATCCTTGCACAAACTGGGTGAATCCAAAATGGTTATTCTTCCCAAACTGCCATGCAAACTGTAGTAAACTGGTCTCAAAGGCCAGTTATCACTCCAATAATAAAACAACTCCTCCAAAAAGAGTTGGGGTTTACAGAATACCCTTCCTGACTCAAAGACATAAAGAACTGACAGATAGAAAGCTTGTGCGTGCGGGTATTTCCTCATAATTGAACACTTCTTTTGGCTTATACGCTTTATATGTATTTGTATTTGCACATTTAAATAATTCACTAAATAACTTCCTATTAGCACAGTCTCCATCACACTTTGAACGGCTGTGTCAGGGGACTGTCCTCACTTTAAAAACAGTTTTTTATGTGTTTATCAAAATCATTTGATGTTAATTGTATCTGTCTTGCGCTAAAATGTTCCTTAAACTCTCCAGATTTTGGTCTGTAGATCTGATTAATGGCTGTGGTGAAGAGCTCTCAGTGATAAAATCAGCTCTTTGAGGTTTCCCATTTTCTGAATAGAGGAGTTTGAGTGTGTTTGTGTGAAACAGTGGAGATGGCTGTAAGAGTAAAAGTGCGTTAGTTTAATCTCTTTTCTGTGATGTCAATCAAACTCTAATTTATCAGATTTGCAACTACTTTAAGTATTTCGTCCACTCAATGGTTTTATTTTCTTTTAATGGCATAGGTCTTTTGCACTACCCTTCATTCTTGAATAGCCTTTAGATCAGTGTTTTCAACCCCTGGTCCTCGGTCCACTAGTGTGCCGTTAGTGATGGTCAGGTGTAGAAAATCATCCTATTTCACCTCATTGGTCTAAAAAGACTTTTTGATAAGGAATTAATTATCTGCAAATAATGTGCCATTTTTGAGTGTGTGTGCTGTTCTAGTGACTGGTGGAGTAATCATGTAATAATTCCTTATGACTAGATTTTGTAT